TCTCTCTCTCTCTCTCTCTCTCTCTCTCTCTCTCTCTCTCTCTCTCTCTCTCTGTATGTGTGTGTGTGTTGGGTGATGGTGAGTGTGGTTGAAAAGAAAGAAGATGTTAGATCCCTTGGAAGTAGAGTTACAAGTGAGTGTAAGCTGGCAGTGGGTGTTGGGAACCATACTCCAGCCCTCTGGAGATGGTCTTACTTTTGGGGGGGGGTTGGTTTTTCGATACAGGGTTTCTCTGTGTAGCCCTGGCTGTCCTGGAACTCACTCTGTAGACCAGGCTAGCCTCGAACTCTCGAACTCAGAAATCTGCCTGCCTCTGCCTCCACAAAAGCTCTGCAGCCCCAAAAGCTCTCCACCTCTCTTTCTTTTTTATTTTATAAACAAAACTGAGCCTCCCTTAGGTCATACTGGCAAGCAATGCACTTCTATCTTAGGTTGGTAAGACTCTGTGCAGAATCTTACCCCTCCTTGACTTGCCAGACTGTTAATCTAATAACTCTGTCTGGGAGTCCATTTTCAGTTTCAAGCCATGTACTTTGGCTGCCAACATGTTGATGTTGTTAAAGACAAGCTTTAACATGATGGGCAGGAATGAAAGTATTCCCAGGACAAAAAGGGCTAGTATGATCAAGCTACATATGCCACTCTTGAAGCTTGACCAAAATAGGAATACTGACCTCAGCCCATGGATAATTTTATCAGCAGTATCTGCCACATGAATGCTCAGCAGAGCAGCATTCTTTAAGTTCATAAGCTCACTATGCAGTTAAAACATCCAGAGAGGTGTTAGAATTGAGCCAAATACACTGCAAGTGTCTTTAAACTTTTTCCTAATTATAATGACTACCACTGTAAATTTTAGAACTAAGATGAATCCAATGGTATTTGGCATGACACTCGAGATGGCTCCTTATTCTTAAACTCTGAACCTCCTCTCAATAATTTTAATAGGACAAAGAGCATCAATCCATTCTTCCAAATGCCTATCTAAATCCTCTTGTATATTCAACACATTAGTAACATTTTTTTGCTAAATGATTAACAAAAGTAGCTGTCTTAACTTCTTGTGTCAAAGCAATTGCAGAGGCAGTGGTGCTAGCAATTAATGAAATTAAAGTTGTTATACCAGCAATAATCAAACCCACTACCCTCTTGTTTCTGCTTAAAGCTTGACTCACTTCTTCTAGTACTTGCAGGCTTTTTTTCAGAATACCAAGGTACTGTGATACTCAGGGCAATAAAACAAAAGCTGGTTGATAGACCTCTGTAATGGACATGCTGGGTTTCAACACACTAACACAATTAGAAAGTATACAATCAATGCAACTTACATTAAATACTGTAGAAGAAAGAAAAGTAATTTTAACTAAAAAAGTAAAGGAGCCTTAATGATGTACTAACACTTGTTTGAAATCCAGATCCTGTCCCAACTTTATCTCTTGCTAACATAACATCCTAGAGAACTGTATCTAACTTTTAAGTATGTCTCTGAAAATGTCCAGAACCAGCCTTCCAAATGAAGACTGTTATTTCCAGTATTGGATTGAGTAGAGCATTGTTCAGTTTCCACATGTATGTGGACTTAAAGACCAGCCTTAGTCCGTGGTGATCTGATAGGATGCATGGGATTATTTCAATTTTCTTGTGTCTGCTGAGGCCTGTTTTGTGACCAATTATATGGTCAATTTTGGAGAAGGTACCGTGACGTGCTGAGAAGGTATATTCTTTTGTTTTTGGATGAAATGTTCTATAGATATCTGCTAAATCCATTTGTTTCATAGCTTCTTTTAGTTTCACTGTGTCTCTATTTAGTTTCTGTTTCCATGATCTGTCCATTGATAAGAGTGGGGTGTTGAAGTCTCCCACTATTATTATGTGAGGTGCAATGTGCACTTCGTGCTTAAGTTTCTTTTATGAATGTGGGTGCCCTTTCATTTGGAGCATAGATGTTCAGAATTGAGATTTCATCTTGGTTGATTTTTCCTTTGACAAGTATGAAGTGTCCTTCCTTATCTTTTTTGATAACTTTTGGTTGAAAGTCCATTTTATTTGATATTAGAATGGCTACTCCAGCTTGTTTCTTGGGACCATTTGCTTCAAAACTTGTTTCCCAGCCTTTTATTCTGAGGTAGTATCTGTCTTTGTAAATGAGGTGCGTTTCCTTTATGCAGCAAAATGTTGGATCCTGTTTACATATCCTGCCCAATAGTCTATGTCTTTTTATTGGGGAATTTAATCCATTGATGTTAAGAGATATTAAGGAAAAGTGATTATTTTTGTTATTAAAGGCGGAGTTGTGTTTGTTTGGCTATCTTCTTTTTGGTTTGTTGGAAGATTACTTTCTTGCTTTTCCTCTTACAACTTTTAATATTCTTTCTTTGTTTTGTTCATTTGGTGTTTTGATTATTATGTGACAGGAGTAATTTCTTTTCAGATCTAGTCTATTTGGAGTTCTGCAGGCTTCTTGTATGTTTATAGGCATCTCTATCTTTAGGTTAAGAAAGTTTTCTTTTATAATTTTGTTGAAGATATTTACTGGTGTTATTCCCTTTACGTTGGAAATCTTTGCTCTCTTCTGTACCTATTACTCTTAGGGTTGGTCTTCTCATTGTGTCCTGGATTTCCTGGATGTTTTGGGTTAGGAGCTTTTTGAATTTTACATTTTCTTTGACAGTTGTGATAATGTTTTCCATGGTATCCTCTGCACCTGAGATTCTCTCTTCTATCTCTTGTATTCTGTTGGTGATGCTTGAATCCATGACTCCTGATCAGTCTCCTGGGTAGTCTCCCTTTGAGATTTCATTATCGTTTCTACTTCCATTTTTATGTCCAGGATGGTTTTGTTGAATTCCTTGACTGGTTTGATTGTGTTTTCTTGTAATTATTTAAAGAATTTTTGTGTTTCCTCTTTAATGGCTTCTACCTGTTTACCTGTGTTTGCCTGTCTTTCTTTGAGGGAGTTATTTATGTACTTCTTAAAGTCCTCTATTATCAATATGAGAAGTGATTTTAAGTCCAAATCTTGCTTTTCCTGTGTCATGGGTATTCAAGATTTGATATGGTAGGAGAACTAGGCTTTGATGATGCCAAGTAACTTCAGTTTATGTTGCTTATATTCTCACACTTGCCTTTTACCATCTGGTTATCTCTAGTTCTACCTTCACTCACTGTCTCTGACTGGAGCCTATTTGTCCTGTTATCTTGGTTGTATCAGAAATCCTCAGAATACAGCTGTCTCTGTGATCCTGTGATCCTAAGATCCTGGGTGTAAGAGATCCTGGGAGTCAGGTTGCTTTTGGGATCCTGAAATTCTGGTGTGACCAAGCTCCTGAGATCCTGTGATCCTATTATCCTATGTTCCTGGGTATGTTAGAACTCCTGGGAGTCCAGCCTTCTCTGGGTTTTGGGGAACTGGGTGCAGAGCTAGTGCCTGAAGACTGCTCATGGCACCAGTGCCGACTGGAAGGATCCCAAGCCACTGGCTGTAAAGGAGTTCCTGGGTCCCTGTGGGTCCCAATTACTCCCTGTTTGGGGAGGAGGGTGTTGCAGCCTCCTCACCTATGATTCTTGGCATTTTAGAGGTCCTGGGAGTCCAGCCTCCTCTGGGGTTTTGGGGATTGGGTGTATAACTGGAGCCCTAGGACTATTGTTTTGATAGGCCTGACCATGCTTTTGTTTGGAAGAATGTGGATTTTTGGAACTTTGGATTTGAAAGTGATGGAATGCTCTAAGTGGGGCTTAATGGGCTATCCTAGTAGGAATAAGGAAGACTTTGTTACTGAGAATGATTTGAACTATGCAGATCTGGCCCAAGAGGTTTTAATGGAGAAGAATTTTAGTATGTGGCCTAGAGACTATTTTTGTGGTATTTTGGTGAAGAATGTGGCTACATTTTGCCCTTGTCTGAAGCTAAGGTAAAGAGGTTTATACTAATTTGTTGACAAAAGAAGTCTCAAAAAACAAAAACAAAACAAAACAAAAAACAACAATAGGAGAGACTTTTTGTCTGATTAAGTCTCCTGAAGAGGATTTTGAACAAGCATAACAAGCTGAGAAAGAAAAACACAAAATATGTGGTTTAAGTATTAAAGGGGCACCAGGAAGTAGAATAGAGCTGAATCCTATATTCTAGGGAGTGGGACTTTGGCGCAAGATCCTACCCAGCTAAATTTGGATCCAGACATGGTGGTACATACCTTTAATCCCAGGAGATAGCCAAGCAGATGTCTGAGTTCAAGTACAGCCTGAGACAGAGCAAGTTCTAGGTGAAGGAAAGCTTAAATCCAGGCATGTTGATACATACCTTTAGTGTATATACCCAGGACACAGGGATGCAGAGCTCTGAGTACAAGGTCGATAGACAGAGCAAGTTCCAGGATAGTCACGCTTAGCCAGTTGGAAGGAGTTGGAAAACAGATAGCTGGTGATAATGTAATAGAACAAGTGGAGGGGGATGTGTTCCAGCCCCAGCAAGCAGCAGAACTCAGCAGCTTCAACTATGTGACTCTGGCTTTTGAGTCAAGAATAGAAGGGACGACTGGGACAATTGATGCTGGTTAGCTGGAGCTAAGAAGTTAGTGGTGGTTAAGAAGACAACAGCATCACTGAGGTGAGATCTTCTGGAAAGTGTTTTCTGAGAGCACAAAGAATCTATGTTCCACATGTAGCCAAGGTTGTACCTCGTGCTGCAACTGAACTTGGTAATGTGTAAGAGTCACCCAAGTTGTACTGATTTTGGAGGTATAAAGGAGTCATGAAGAGGAACTGAGGCTTGGCACTGTGAGAGGCCAGGGAAGACCACTGGTGAAGGTGCAGCCTCAGTAGCAGTTGGTGGCCTAGGACTGAAGGGTTCATGCAAAGAAGTTGAGGTTTGGCACCATGAAGAGAGCCTATAAGAGGCTGGTGAAGTCTAGTTGCAGCAGAAAACCCCAGTGTACTGGAGTTCCCAGTACCATAGGATGTTCACCAAGAACGGCAGCAGCAGCAGTGGGGTGGAGTTAACAGAGCCTAGAGTGCTACAGAGGGCAGAGCTGGAGATGTGATCCAAGCCCTTTAGAAGAGCCCAGAAGATCATGTATGAATTTCAGACATTGAAACAAGAAGTTGAAGGTGGATGTTCGAGATGCCAGAGCCTTGTAATATTTGCTGAGGAAAGCTGCTAACAGGGAGTTAGTTGAAGCAGCCGAGGAGAAAGAAATTTGTTGCAGTCAACAAAGATGAAAAAGGAATTGAAGATTTGGAGACCACTTTGACATCATGCATACATGGAGATATAGAGTTTGAAGTTTGCCCAGCTTGTTTCCTGTCTTGCTTTCAAACATATGTGTCATTACACTCTGCTTTACTTCATCGCCCCTCCCAAAAATCCTCTCTATGACTCCTTAGCTGAGAAAACATCATTTCTTCATTTTGGTGCCTCTCTGCTTAGCCACCTTTATGTAATTTAAAGTGTGAATTCCATTAATACCTTTGGTTTCTCTTGTCTAGATATATCTTAATCGGCTCATCCACTAGCTATTGTGAGATCCAAGGCAAAGGAGTTATCTGGAGTGATCCTCTCCCAGAATGTGTAAGTAAGTAGAGATTTTTCTGACTTGGCTAAACACATAAGTGTCTTAGGGGACAATTCTGTGCATCGTCACTGAAACTTGTACCCTCCATATACATTTGTGTAGGAAGAGCTAAGGTGGGAGGAGTTAGGAGAGGAAGAGGAGGAGTAAGGAGGAGAGGAGGAAAAAGGAAAAGGAGGAACTAGGAGACAGGCGAGGAGAACAAGAGACAGAGAGGAGATGGAGGCAGATGTTCACATGTCTGTAGAAGTCAAAGGTAGTTGGTATATCTAGGTTGGGTATTGAGTTACACTTCTGATTGTATGGGCATCTTGTTACTGATCATTACCAAATATATAAGCCTTTGATTAATCTATAAAAATTAGAGTCTCATTCTCTTACAGGGCCCATATGGATGGTGGGATGGTCTAGGCAATACCCAGCCTTGCAGAGACAGAGTGGGAGATTGAGTCATCTCCCACGCTGACATCTCATGGGTGGCAGGGCAGGTGTTTCTAGTTGGCCATTTCTAACTGCAGCACGAACATGGCCTCTGGCTGAGAAACTTGGCGGCTGGGCTAGGCATAGCTGCTGCAGCTTAGATAGTCGGCCTGAGCCTGAGGTCATTTTAAATACTTACTATAACACATTTACTAGAATTTTATCTTTGTTATGATGCCTATCCCTGAACATTTCCTTCTCTTTTACTAATTTCTCAGTTGTCAAGTGTGGGTCCCCTCCAAGCATCAACAATGGGAACCACAATGGTGGATATGAAGACTTCTACACATATAGCTCTTCAGTCACCTATAGGTGTGATCCCAATTTCTTGCTCATTGGCAATGCCTCCATTACCTGCACTGTGGTGAACAAAACAATAGGTGTTTGGAGCCCAAGCCCTCCTACTTGTGAAAGTAAGTCACAGGGATGTATTGTTTTCAATTGTTTCACTTACATTTTGCTTTTTAAAAAAAGGAAGGTGACTTTATTGTGGGAAGTAGTATAATTTAAAGATAAAAAATTAGTGAGTGTGTAAATGCATCTATTATTTGGCTAAGAGATACTCAATGCATTAAGGCACAAGTAACACCATATCACATTGATTTGGTAAAGTAAGAGTTTCTTCTTATTCATCTATAATCTGTTTTAAGATGTTAGCTACACAGGCATTCTTGGCTGGAAAGCATCTTGGACATGCCAACAGCTTAGAACAGAGTTTAGCATCCAGGTAACATTGGTCTCATGGCATTTCCATATGGAAATATGGTCTTGCAATCTCTTTAGTAGAAGAAAGAAAAAGAAATTCTATCCTTTGTCTGGGAGTGAGCACATTACCACCTTTTATTTAGAACCTGCAATAGTTATGTTGTTTTATATCCTGTTCTTGACCTGAAAGTATTTATTAGACCTAAGAATTTTCTGATAAAGTCTTTGAAGTGTTTTTGCTTGTTCGTTTGCTTGCTTGTTTTACTATAGGACAGGCCATCAGCAAACAGGGACTACTTTGACTTCTTCCTTTACTACTTGTATTCCTTTGTTTCTTATTCTTGTCTTATTGCTCCAGCTAGGGTTTCAAGCACAATATTGTATAAGAGTAGCAAGAGTAGGCACCTCCACTAAACTCACTCCGGAGTTTAGAGGAATTTTGTTTTTTCCTATTTAGTATGATGTTGGCTATAGGCATCATACATAAGCACCAAGAAGACAAGAAATGTTAAAACACACAGAGCTGTCTCTTCAAAGGGAAAGATGTATAATTTATCTTCCAACCAGGAGGCTGGGAATAGATGTAGTTAATAGCCTGGTGAACTCTGCACTATTTGTATGGGTTGGCCACACTGGTTGCCCCAGACCCTTTTCCTGAGCTTGTTTATCTTAGTCAGTCTAGACTACTACCCTCCCCCAGATCTTTATCATGAGTATTGTTACCTTAAGCCTACTTGCTCGGTTAATCTATAAAACTCATCTTTATGGCCGACAGCACTTGAACTTTACAAGAGTTTCAATGTAATCATGTCTTAAGCATTGCTGTGCATATGGGATTTATTTGTCACAAGGAATCTTTTACCCAAATTGTGCTGTGCTTAAATATGCCTAAAATACACTGATTGGAACCAACAGCAGCTACTGAGTCATATTAAACCGAATTTCCTTCTTGCCTTTCCTGGATTGACACTGTGCTGGTCATGATGTTTGCAGAGACCCTGACATATACAGATGTGCTGTTTATAGCCTTTGTAATGTTGAGGTGTGAGCCTCGGATTCCTACTTTTTTTTTCAGGACTTTTATCATTCAGAGATGTAGAGCTTTGTTGAAGGCTTTATCTGTATCATTTAAGATGATCTTGTGATTCATGTACTTAAGCCTATTTATGTGATGAATATTATTACCCTTACCTATTTACCTGTGTTGAAACAAAATTGGATCTTTGGAATGATACCAACTTGGTCATGGCATATAATCATGTTAATGGGTTTTTAAATTTGGTTTATAATTTTTTAAAAAAAATTTCTCTCATATAATACATCCTGACCACAGGATCCCCTCCTATCCCCCTAGCCTCTGCTCCCTACCTCCTTTCTCCCCAAAACTCCTGCCCTCTTTGCCTCCCTTCAGAAAACAGCAGGCATCCCAGGGAGAGCAAGCAAACACTACATAACAAGCTAGAATAAGACCAGGGACATACCATCACATCAAGGCTGGACAAGGCAGCCCAATAGTAGGAAAAGGGACCCACAAGAAGGCAAAGAGTCAGAGACATCCACCACTCCCATTGTTATGGTTCCTATAAGAACACCAGGCTACTCAGCTGTAACACATATGCAGAGGACATAGATCAGCCCTATGGGCTCTCTCTTCTCTGCCAGCCTCCATGAGTTCTAGTCAGTTGAATTTGTGGGCTGTGTCCTTAGGGTGTATCTATAACTACTCTGGTTCCTCTATCCTTCCTCCTTCAGGAAGGAGCTCCACCTAATGTTTGGCTGTGGGACTTTGCATTCACTGGCATCTGTTACTGGATGAAGTCTCTCTGGTCTCTTTGATGACTATTACGCTAGGCTATGATCCCAGCACACTCTACAGGCAGGACAAACTGGAGGTTTGTCCAGTCCAGCTGAACAATCAAGTGGGACCCCCAGACCCTGTGGAGAGGACTGAGATGCATGAGAAAATAAAGAGGCAAAGCAAGTCAAGAAGTTGGATCAAGCTGACAAAGATTTTATTGTTCACACAGGTTATACACTCTAAAAACAGGATATGGGGAGGGACAGGAAGGGAAAGGGGGCTTTGCAGGTGGAGGAAACTAGCTGTAGCTGTGGGGTCTAACTAGGTTATACCTGTTCTCACAAAGCCTTGCCGTTACCAGGGATTCTAAAAACATCTATCTAGCAAGTGAATCCTGGAAGGTAAACAGAAAGAAGAACAGTAGATAGGAGAGCCAAGGGTGAGTGTTTGCCAAGAGTAAGGCCTTGTCATGGCTTCCCACAGAGGTTGAATGTTTTGTTCCTGGGTTGGTGTTCCAATCCCTCCACTTGAGGCCTTGACTCCTTACAAAAGATGGCTGGTTCAGGCTCTGTGTTCCCTGTTACTAGGAATTTTTGCTACGGTTACTCATGTAGATTCTATGGATTTTCCATTGCTCTAGGTTTCCACCTTGCCCCTGAACTGTTCCCCCAATTCCATTTGTTTCTCCCAATATTTTCTCTCTTCCTCTACCTGATCCCTCCTGTTCCTAACCTTACTCGCCTCCAGTCTACCCATGAAATCTATTCTACTTCTACTTCCTAAGGAGATCCTTGTGTCCCCTCTTAAACCTTCCTTATTACTTAGCCTCTCTGGGTCTGTGGACCATATTTATGATTGTCTTTTACTTTACGGCTAATATTCACTTATAAGTCAGTATATATTATATATGTTTGTCTTTATGGGTCTAGGTTATCTCACTCAGGATAAATTTTTCTAGTTCCATTCATTTGCCTGCCAATCTTAGGATGTAATAATTGGTTTTAACAGCTGAATGATATTCCATTGTGTAATTGTACCAAATTTTCTTTGCCCATTCTTCAGCTGAAGCTCTAGACTGTTTCCAGTTTCTAGTTTCCAGTTTCTAGCTATGATGAATAAAGCTGCAATGAACATAGTTGAGTGCATGCCCTTTCAGTAGGATGGAGCATCCATTGGATATATGCCCAGGAGTGGTGTAACTCCGTCTTGTGGTAGATCAATTTTCAGTTTTCTGAGTAACTGCCATATTAAAGCATTTCAGGGAAATTGGTCACCATGTGGGTTCTTGGGATCGAACTCAAGTACTTAGGCTTGGCCAGCAAGTGTCTTTACCCGCTGAGCTGTCGGCTCTTACCCTTTGGCCATTGTTTCTATCTTGACTATGATATACACTGCAGGAGGTTCTTCTCTTGTCATGTCTATTTTGGATTCTAAGTGCCTCTTTTATTTGAAATCTTTCTTTAGATTTGAGAAATTTTCTCCTATAATTCTATTGAGTAGACTCTGTATGCTTTTTGTATTTTTTATACGTCTTTCTTCTGTGCTGCGGACTCTTAATTTTTTTCTCTTGGTCAGTGACGGTTCGTGTTATTTATCAGTTTCACCAAATGTAGAATCACCTGGAAGATGGCCTCCTGGGCATACCTGTAGGAATTATCTTCACTGTGTTAACTGAGGCTGGAAGAATCCTCCACTCATCTTCCTGTATCCACAGTTACTTCTCTGGGCTTTTCCTCACATAGGGACTGCAGCAGGCTACACTAAGGCTTCCTGACCTGGCTGTTTCTTCCCTCAGGACAGTTGCAGGAATAGATTTTCTTTCAAGATTATGCCTACTTTGCTGCTGCCTCTAAAGCCAGATAGTCCTGTGACAAAAGGGACTTTTTTTCACGGCTAGCCCATCTGTCAGAGGAATACCTGTCTCATCAAAACCTACAACTAGATTTGAGAAGATTTTCAGCTTGTTTTGAGAGTTAGAATCCCCAACTTTTTGTGTGGCTTACCTTTGCACGACTTCCACTCCCTTAGTCCACAGAGAACTGAGTAGTGGAGGCTATGTTAGGCTTGCTTCTCTGTGTCAAGGGTCTTTTTTTCCTCTGCTGCTCTTTTCTGGCATCCTTTGCAATTAATTTAATATATATATATTTCTGACTTGTTCACTTATCCAGAGGCATTCCCCTAGTCTTCCATGTTCAATAATATTCTCATTACTATGTATCTGTTAATTTGCCAAGAAATTTTTTTTGTTTGTTTTTTTTGTGGTACTTAGGGTCTCATGCACACTTGATAGGTACCCTTCCACTAAGTTATATGCCCAGATCTCAGCTAATCTGTGATAATGTATATGATGTATATATATATATATATATATATATATATATATATATGATTGTGTGTGCATATGTCTGTATTTATGGTATGTGTGTATGTGTGTGTGTGCATGTATCTCTGTATTTGTATGTGTATGTCTGTATTTATTGTGTGTGTGTATGTGTGTATTATGTCTATATTTATGGTGTGTATACAAGTGCATGAGTACCATCGTTTGTATGTGAAGGTCAGAGGACAACCTCAGAGGTTGCTCCTGACCTTTTTCTATTTTGAGGCAGCTCCCCCTCCTCCTGCCCTGAGACATGGTCTCATTATGTAGTCCTAGCTTTTCAAAGACTGGAATTAAAGATACACTCCTCCATGTCTGGCTTTGCTTCTGTGATACATACACCAAGATAACTGCCCTTCTAGCTTTAGGGGGAGTCTCTTATCATAGGGTCATTGGAGTCACAAATGCATGCTACCATGCCTGATTTTTATGTGGGTTCTGGGGATTAGAACTTATGTCTGTGTGTGGACTTTACCCTCTGAGCCACTGCCCCATATGCTTCATCTTTTAAAACATACTTATCTTTTCTCATAATTCTGTAGGAATCATCTGTCCTCAGCCAAACATTCCACATGGAATGATTGTTTCTGGATTTAAACCTACATATAAATATAAAGACTCTGTTAGATTCAACTGCCTGAAAGGGTCTGTCCTCAGAAGCAGCAGTGTAATCCATTGTGAAGCTGATGGCAACTGGAGTTCCTACCCGATTTGTGAGCTCAGTAAGTGTGAACCATGAGGAGTTTCACAGTTGGCATCTAAAGATACTCAGATATATCTGTGTGGACATACTTGCATGTCTTTATTTGGAATCACAAAAATTTAAATTTGGATTAATAATTTTATCTTATCTTCTTGATGGAAAGAGAATGATTTCAGTACTCTTCGCAAGGTCATCTGCCACCTGTGGTCATTCACACTCTAGTCCTAAGGAGAAGCACTGATACTGTCGATGCAGAAGATTGATATTCACATTTTATTAATTTTTGGCAGTTTATTGGTAATTGTCTAACAAAATGATTTTGAAAGATGGATAGTAAAATGTCCCTTTCTAAGATTTGTATAAAAGTATTATGTGGACTAGATACTCTAAAATGATTAACTTGTGATAGAAGTTATAATATCAAGTTGGAACTAGTCTTCTTTCATAAAAAGAATTGAGGCAATAAGTCAATTGTGGGCAGCATTATTGACGTAATTTGGCAGATGAGGAAACATTGTCAGAACCTGAGTGACTTGTCAAGGCCAAACACAAATTTCTAAGGGCAGGAGGCCTAGGACACCTCTTATTATTGTACCTGTGAGACATTATGAGCCTTTATCTTCGGGGCTTCTATAACAGTTGGATAAGTAAGTAACAGGGCAGTCTCTATCCTGGACTGACATCTATTAAGCTGACTAAAACTAGTAAAGAAACCATTCACTGTGTCTTAGAGAATAATCAAAAGAGTTACAACAAATTGAGAAGCATTTGTTCAGGGAGTCCATGGAGACTTGATAGAAATATTGAAAGGCCATTGAACTGAACTAGCAACAACACTAACCCGATGGGAACTGTTTCTATGGACTCAGAAATGGCAGTACTCATTGCTGTTGGGTAAAAGATGTGCTTGGGATGGTCTGTTTTTGAATATTGTGAATTTTCTTAAATTGCATGCTGTGAAAAGCTTAATTTAAGCAGATGTCAGTAACCAGATGTCTGGTCTGTTACTTCATCCAGCTTCTGTTACACAGCACAGAGAATCCAGGGGAGGCAACTGTAGCAATTGCATTTTTCTGTTTCTGAACAGTTGCATCTTGGGAAAAAATGTTCTAGTAGGCTGGTCAGTGAATGGTCACCTCCATTTCCCTATTTTATAGACTTGAAAACCTCAAATATTGATGAATTTGATTGTTTTGACTCTGCTGTAGAATATGTATATTTGGTGCTGGGTACAGTTGGATGCAGGATTACTCGTTGGTACACCCCCTTTCCCTTTTCACAGCTCCTACACTACAGGAAGGGGTCTACTGAATGAAGTGATTTATTCTTTCCAGTTCCTGTTTATGGCAAAATATAACCATATTAAGCTAATTAAGCCAATCCCAAAAAGACAAACATCACACATTTTCTCTCATTTATGGTTTTTAAACTACATATGAGTACATAGAATTTAATATGAGTATATTCTATAAAGGTAGAAGCAAAATAGAGTGATATATATTTTAGGGTCCAGCTGTGGTTCCGCATCCTCCACTTTCTCCTTCTCAGGGTATCCAGACACAGCTGCATACTAGGCTGGAAGGGTGAAGCTGAGTCTAGAATGGGTAGAGTTCTACAGGATCTTAGTCCAGCTGGAAGAGAATGCTGGGGGTGAGAGGGTTGGAGGAGGCGGGAGTGGGGGGGGGGGGAGAAGGCCTTCTCCAAGGATCTTAGTGTTACACCTCTTTTAGGCAATGGCCTGATGGTCTTCACTAAAACAGCTCTCTGAGACAATCTTAGCTTGTGTACATACCTTTATTTGGATTAGATTTGAATGCATATACTTTATTCGGGGTGAACCAGGGGTATATGTGGACTTTGGAGAGTAGGAAGGAGTTTTCAGGGTAAATGAAAATCATTGGCTTGAGTTTTGGAGTTCTGTGAATGCCTTGTTTGCATGGAGAGGCATTCTAGGAATCTCAGGTGCTTTATAGATAGGTTCTTATTGGGAGAAAGGAAGCTGAAGCTGTAATCTCACCAAAGCTACATGATGTTCCACAGAGGAAACGAAATTATTATTGCCATTTTTCAGTTTCTCTGAAGTCCGAGCATGTGGTTAATGTTTGATTCTGCCAGAGAGAAATGAAAACAGATATCCACACAGAAGATTTTTACATGAAAGTTCAGAGCAGCCTTGTTCATGATAGCCAACAACACGAATACCCATCCATAGGACAACAGTGATAAACCAGTGTAGCTGTACAATGGAATATCATACACAATAAAAATGAAGTACTGACAAATGCTCAGTATGGATTAACCATAAAGTATGGTATTTAATATAGAAAGCCAGCCACAAAAGGAAAGAAAAAATATTGTGTGCTTCCATTTATTTAAAAAGCTCAATATAGGAATAATACTTAAAAAACAACAATAACAACTGGGGTTTCTTTATGAGATGATACAGACATCTTGACATTGGGTAGGCTAGAAAGCTGCACAACTCTATGATTATTTAAAGACAGTTAATCTGTACTTTCTGAAGGATTTTGCTCTATGCCTCATGGCAAATGTTTGGAGATACAATGTAATGTGTAATGAACATCAACTGTGTAGAGGTGTATATTACATGTGAGGTAGCAGTACCAGGTCAGGAAAGAAGACAGGGTTCAAAGCCCAGTCCTGTTCAGTGCTTTGATTGTTCTAGTTCTAAGCTTTTCTGGATTAGGGAAATGGCTTTTGTTCCATTTCCATAGTCAAGAAAACAAACACAGTTTTTGTTGTTTATGAACGTTTTCCTGCCATGTTCATTTAACAATCAATTTAGAAGCCAGACTGTCTAAAGTACCATGGAGAGAAGAATTGCGGTGGAGTGCAGTTGGCACAGTAAACAGAAAATATTTGGTAGTGCCACGGTTATAACCTGTCAGGTGCCAGGCTAAACTTGGCAGAGCCCTTATATGTTTTCTGGTGTAGATAATATGTGAGCTACAGAACTCTAGTTCCTGTTGGCACCCTTTAGTAAGACATGTTCTATGTTAACAATGTCATTTTTTTAACTTTTTCTTGTTTCATGAACAGATAGGTGCATTAATATCCCAGACATTCCAAATGCTCACTGGGTAAACTATCACAAGCCAAGAAAGGAAGAGGCATATCCGGTTGGGACTGTGTTCCACTATCGCTGTCATAATGGCTATGAACCTAAAGGGGTCATGACTGTGACTTGTCAGAAGGATTTCAGCTGGAGCCTGTTTAAAGGATGTAAGGGTGAGTTTGGGTTTTCAAAATGGGTGTGCATATTAAATGTCTAAGTGACTGGACCATGTACCTCAAATGAATATAGTTTTATCACATAAAATAAAAATCAAATACACTAACTATTTTAACTAAAGAATGAATTATTTAGTACTAAAAGTAATCATAAAGTTTCAGGTGCCAAGATTGTAAATCTTTCTGTAGGTTACATTAGAATCAAACAAAAACAGATAGAGAAGCCAGACAGCATGCAGATTTAAGTTGCAAATTCACTGCTGGTGGATCTGAGGTGGAACACACAGCTCAAATCTTGTCAGAGTGAGACTCTACAGTCCTTCCTTCTTCATGTGAACTTTGGGGGTTCTGGCAGGAGGAAAAAATCCATGAGACTATTATGAATTCAGCCAGTTGCAAATTGGCATGTGTTTTATAGTTCTTGAACAACAGGTAGGTTGACACCTAACGGAGTTACTTCTGGCCTAGAATTCTTCCTTCAGTAGTATAGAAAGAGAAGCTCATCAGCCAGATAATTACTCTTTTACGACCTCAGTGAAATTTCTAAGAAAGAAAAATTGTTCCTTTTTTTTAAAATCTAGCATAAGCTTGCCATTTTAGCAGTAAAAACAAACTCTAATTACAGGGAATTTTTATGCTATGGATCAGATTTGAAAAATGTATGAGTGAATACAAACAATATATGAAGCTGTTCCCACTGACCTGTCAGTGGGTTGCCCCATTTCAGGGCTTGAGGACAAGGTAGAGGAATTGAATCATTCACAGGTAATTAAAACAATGACTACCACCAACGAAGGGAACATGCAGGAACTCTGGAATTACTATACAAAGAACAAACATACAAACAAAGTCTAGAAGAAGAAAAGAAACACAGATCAAAGGCACTAGTAAACTATCTTTATTGACAATAGTTTCAGCAAAATCATAGGAAAAAAATCTTCAAATGTAAGAAGTGCCTATTAAAGTGGAAGGAGCATAGAGAACACAAAATAGACTGGACCAGAAAATAAACTCCCTTGATATTTTAGAGTGAAAGAAACTAACTGTATGGAACAAAGAAAGGGTATTGTAAATTGCAAGAAAGAAATGTTAACTCATTTATAAATACAGACCCATCAGAATAACAGCTGATTTTTTCCAATGGAGATTTTAAAATGCAAAATGGATTAGACTGATGTTCTACAAGTTTAGAAATATCACATATGCTAACTCACACTATTATGCCTAGCAAAAGTATCAGTCATAATCAAAGGAGAAATAAAAATGTCACATGGTAAAAACACATTACTGTGATTTATGGCCATGATGCTGCATCTACAGTGAATATTGAAATGAATAATTTAGTCTCAAGAGAAGGATAAACACACCAAGAGGTCACAGGGGTAAATAAGTTAGAATGGTTAAATCTAGAGAGGTCTAATAAAACACCACCATAAACAAATGAGAAGAAAATTAAAACACTGGTCAGTAATGACTCTCAATATTATTGATCTCAATTCTTCAATAAAGACACAGACTAACAGATTGAGTTAGAAAACAGAATTTATCTTTTTTTCTGCTTCCAAGAAACACACCCCACTCTCAATGATAGATACCAACTTAGGGTAAAAAGATGGGAAAGATACTCAAGAAAATTGAACTAGAAAACAAGCAGGCTTAGGTATTTTGCTATCTGACAAAATATACTTCTAACAAAGATTAGTCAGAAGAAATAGAGGGTCATGTCATACTCATGAAAGAAATATTTGCTAAGAGATTATTATATTTCTGAGCATATATGTACCAAATTTAGATACAACTAGCATCATAAAAGAAATACTATTAGACCTAAAACAGTAGATTAACCAAAAACAGTCATAGTGGATTATTTCCTGCCTCACTCTCATCAATAGACAGATCAACCACACAAAAACTAAGCAGAGACACATTGGACTTAAATGACACAAATAAAACAGATCTGACAGGCATCTACAGTATACACTAAAGATAACATATGCTTCTTAACCAGCCATAGAGCTTGTTTAAATATTAGGAGACAAAGTCTCAACAAATATAAGAACATTAAAATAACATTCTACATTCCTTTGGGCAACAATAGAGTAAACATGGATGTCCATAGGAATAGAACCTACACACTACTGAATGACAGGTGGGTCAATGAAGAAATCAAGAAGAAACTTAAAAATTCCTATAATGGAATAAAACTTAAACCAAAGTATGTCAAAATCTGTGTAACACAATGAAGGAAATTAGAAGAGGGTAATTTATAGCATTAAATGCATACATAAGGTTTTTAGACCTGTCAAGTTAATGACTAATACACCTAAAACTCTTGGAAAAAAATAGATAAAAACACAGAAAATAGTGGAATGAAAAAGATAGTACTAAAGTCAAAATAAGAAAAATACAACAAACAAATAATACAAAGACTTGAACTGAAAAGCTGGTTCTTTGATGATATTTCCAAGATTGACAAACATGTAGCCAAATCAATGAAAGGAAAGAGAATAAAGACCCAAATTAACAACATTAAGGATGAAAAGGAAACATTATAGCAAACACTTAGGAAATCCAAAGGATCATAAAAAATGTATTTTTCAAACCTATATTCCACTCAATAGGTAATGGGTGAGATTTCTATGTGCATGTGATCAACCAGAGTTGAATGAATGTGAAGTAAACAGTTTTAAAATATCCAAAACACCAACAACATAAGAGCAACAAGTAAAAGACTCCCTGTAGAAACTCCACAGAAAGACCAACAGAATCAGCTAATCTGGACCCTTGGGGCTCTCAGAGTCTAAACCACCAACAAAGAACATACACAGGCTGTACTGCACATATGTGGCAGATGTGCAGCTTGGTCTTCATGTGGGTCCCAAATAGCTGCAACAGGGGCTATCTCAAAAGCTGTTGCCTGTATGAGGGATATGTTCTTCTAGCTGGGCTACCTTGTCTTGTCAGTAGGAGAAGAAGTGCCAGGGTAGGGGCATATCCAGAGGCGAGCCCCACCTGCTTAGAGGAGAAGGGGAGGGGATTGGGGGAAGGACTGTGGGGGAGGTAACTGGGAGAGGGGCTGTGAGTGGGATGTAAAGTGAATAAGTAAAAAAAAAATCAAATTTAATAATAATAATAATAATAATAATAATAATGCTCCCAATTAAAAAAAAAATCTCAGGGCCAGATAGATTCATCATGGAATTTGTTCTAACAGATCTTCAAATAATAAGTAATAACAATACTCTTTAAGTTTTTAATGTAAAATAGAAAAAGAAAGAACTCTTCTTTTTCCTACTAAGCCTGTATTACCCTGATACTAGAAACAGATAAAAGCCCAACTAAAAAAGTAAAATTATAGGTCAATGATGAACATAGGTGCGAAATTTTTCAGTAAAATAATTATAAACTGAATTAAAGATCACATCAAATAGATAGTCCACCGTGATCAAGTCTGCACCATCCCAGAGGTGCATAGATAAATGGCTCAAAATATGTAAAAATAAACACAATTCACCAATAAACAGACTCAAGGACAGAAACCATGGGAACATCTCAGTAGGTATAGAAAAGGATTTTGACAAAGGCAACATTTCTTTATAATAAAAGCCCCAAAGAAACTGGAGATACACAGACATACCTTAATATAATAAAGGCAATATATAAGATACCTACAGTCCACACAGTGCTAAATGGAGGAGAGCTCAAATTATTTCCACTAAAATATAGAAGAACAGCCTTCTCTGTGTGTCCATGTATATTCAATATAGCACTTGCACTCCTAGCTATGGGTATGACCAATTGTTGGTCTTAGTGTTAAATGGGATGGAAGGGGTGGGAGGGCAGAATAGAGGAAAAAGTATGGGGAGACATAACACCAAAGATTTTTTAAAAGCCGTCTGGAAACCCTCTACTTTTTAAGCTTCCCAAACATATAAATATACACATATATAAAGAGTTTAAGATGAATTATCCTATTATGGGCATGGATGGGCAGCTCTCTCAGGCATCATAGGCTATCAAAAAAAGCTCAGTACCAGGTACGGGTTACTTCCTTAATAGACCATTGGTCAGTAGGGGCAAATGGAAGGTTATTGCCATCACTCATACTTGAGTCATAGAACATGGAGAAGGCAAGTTTGTATCAATCTAGATGCTTGCAAGGTGATATGCACACTATGTAGGAGGAGGGGAATAATCATTAGCCTTATCCAGCTGTGAACTGTTGCAAGCTACTTGCTAATTACTGGTCTAGCAAGGTTTGCCCACTGGTGGAATAAAGGCATAAATGTTATGGGAGTAGCCAACCACTTTCTCTTTGTATTTAGAGACACGACACAGAGCTGTTAGCAACCGATGGCTGCCTGGGAATAGAGAGTCAGATTTTTGTTGTCATGTTCAGGGATGCAGCCTCTGATAAGCTACCCATGCTTCAGGAGATGGCCCTACACCTGTGCAGATACTGAATGCATTAAGTGCACTCGGCGTGTTGAGAAAAGGAAACATGAAATTGAGAGGGAATAGGGGATAAGAAAGAGTGTGTAGAGAGGATTGGATTTGATTTAATTAAAACGCATTATATGCATGCTTGAAATTCTCAAACAATAAAGATGTGCTTACTAGAAGAAAGTGACTGGATTTGAGGGTTTTCTTTTTCTTTTTTAGAAATTTTATATAAGGTACAGACTGAGTGTTTGGGTTTTCTTTTCTGCTGCTTTTCTTTTTTTTTTTTTTGGTGCAGAAATTGAATCATTAACTATAAGAACATCTTCATGATGATATTGTTGACCCTTTAATTCTCTTTTTCCTCTAGAGTTATGTTGTCCAGTACCAGACCCAAAGAGTGTTACAGTCATCGAGCATACAAAAGCGCATCCTGAGAATGACTGTACTTACTTCTATGATGACAAAGTATCATATGTATGCGATGGTAGTAAAACCTTTTCAGCTACTTGCAAATCAGATGGCACATGGCAACCTCAAACACCATCCTGTTACCCGGGTAAGAACTTATACAACTATTTTTGCGGGGGGAGTTTCTTTTTTATTTTTAAATTTTATTTTTATTTTATGTACATTGGTGTTTTATCTTCATGTATGTCTGTGTTAAGGTCGTATTTCCTGGAACTAGAATTCTCTTACAGACAGTTGTGAACTGCCATATGGGTACTGGGGATTGAACCCAGGTCCCCTGGAAGAGCAGCCAGTGTTCTTAACCACTAAGCCATCTCTCCAGCCCCAGAGTTTCTTTATATTAATAGTGTGGAGATTATTAAAAGAAATTGTATTGAGACCAGTGCAAGGAAAATTTAAGTACAAGGCCACCTTCGGGTAACATAGTAGTGAGGCTGGGATACTTAGGAAGTCCTGTGTATCTTTTCGTTGAATTGTTCCCGTTCACTAAACTGCAGGGATAGCTATTCCCCTTCATATTGTTGTTTCTACTTGCTTGATAGATCTTCTTCAGTTTTTGTGTTTGTTTGCTTTTCAAGACAGGGTTTCTGTTTAGCCCTGGGTATCCTGGAATTTGCTTTGTAGAACAGGCTGGCCTTGAACTCACAGAGATCCACCTGTTTCTGCCTCCTGAGTGGTGACATTAAAAGAGAGCACCACCATGCCTGGAGATGGATTTCTCTTAGAACTTTGACTCTCAGTCAGTAACTGTAACTTGGAAAGCACAGAAAGTTGCATTTAGTTTGCAGAATCAGTCGGCTAGTGTCTGTTTTTCTGTTGATGATTTGAGAACATTTACGCATAAGGCTACTATTAAGAGACAGTTACCAATTCTTGCGATTTTGTTTGTTGTTTTCTGCTTGCTTGAGTTGTTTGCTCTGTGCTTTATCCTCTAATTAGTTTTAGGGGTTTGGTCATCCTGTTGGACATGATAGAATACTTCCTAGCTTTATTTTGTTCAGATACTTGGCTCATGGTATTTACTACTTTCTGTGCTCTCATCATTGAAAACGTCTTGGTTCTCTATATAGTGTCCCTTTAAGTGTCTCCTGCAATACTAGCTTGGTGGTAGTGACTGCCTTGATTTGTGCTTTAGCTGAAGTATCCTTGTATCTCTGTGAGTTTCAAAACTGTTATGCTTAGTTTTAGTTGTCAGACAAATCACCTAAGAAGAGACTGTCAGAGAGGGATTAACTAAATTAGGCAGATGGTTGGTGTATATGTCAGGGTGAGGAGGACTATTTTGATCATGTTGAGGTGGGAAGACCTATCTTGTGTATGGGTGGTACCATTTTCACTGGCCCGATGAGCTGAGTATGCATATGTACGTTCATTCTCCTCTGCTTCCTGACCATGGCTGTAATGTGACTAGTGGCTTCAAGTTCCTGCTACTTTACTTTTCCACAATAATGAATCTGGAACTGTGAGTGAATGTAATTGAACCCTTGTTTTTAACACAGCAGTAAAAGAAGCAACCCAAACAATGGCTTTGCTGGTAATAGGAGTTGTGGCTATTGGGCACTTATTTCAGGGATTGAAATGGAACATTCCATAGTTTCCTGGCTTTTAGACTTGATGAGAAAAAAAAAACAATACAAAAACAAAAACAAAAAAAAAACCCTGATGTTTTTCTGATGTTTCTTCTTCTGTAGATATACCAGTATTTTTACCTTCCAGCTTTTAATATTGTTTCTTTGGTTTGTGTATTCCATATCGTGAGTATAGTATGTCACAGAAAGGGCCTTATATTTGAATCTCTATTTCTTTAAGTGCCTCTTGTGTTTTAATGTTTATTTCTACTCTGTAGATCTGGGAACTCTTCTGCTTTAACTCCATTCAGTAGTCTTTGTAGGCCTTTAGTGTCTGTCTTAGTTCTTTCTCCTAGCCCATGATTCTTGGGTTTGTTCCCTTGCTCACGTCCCAGAGTTCTCAGCTGCTGTTGTCACAGTCATTTCCTTTTCTTCTCACCAATGTTTATATGTGATAGTCCATCAACCTTGTCCTATCCTCCTGATGGTCTTTTATCTACTTGTTAAGTAGGAGTTGGCAATGCTTTCACCGTGTCTTTTCTTTGATTCATTATTTCTTTTGTATTTATGTCTTTCAAAATCTCAGTTTATTTACTGAATATATTTCCATGTTGCTGACTTTTGATACTGTTGTTTTCCCCACCCATTCTGTCGGCTTTTCCCTTCTACTTTGCTGACTTTCATCTCAAGTTCTGGGTTGCATGCATATACTTATATTCTATTATTGGTTCATTGATCATTTTCCAATAAACTTCCAAAATCTTCATCTATATTTTACCTATGTTTGTGTCTTTGAGCTCAGTAGTTGAGGAGGCACACATTTTTTTTTAAACTATAGAGGAGTCATTTTTTTCCTGGATTGTCATGTTTCCTGTGTTTCTGAACTGTTATTTGTGACTCTGTTGTCATAGATCTCTCCTGGAGTTGGAGATGGAAGATCTTTCTTTAAGCAGCCTATTCCTGATTGCTCAGTCCTCAGAACTACTTAAGATTGAAAGTATCTGGTTTGGAGCAATGTTTGTTTCCCTTTCCTCCAGGAGGTGGGATCACTGACAGGGTCTAGGAACCAAATTGACACAGACTGATTGAAAGGTGGTACCACATTTTTCATGAGTTTTTCATACATACATGGAAACCATTATAAGAGTCCAAAAATATGCAGAAATGACCAAAGCAGAAAACTTTATATAGTTTGCTAAAGAACAAATGTGAAGAACTGAGAGCAAAATATTTCGAGTAGGGATAGTAAATATGAAGAAAGTATATGTTGCCTGAGCTCTAAGATAGAGGTCTTCCTTTGAAGGTCCCAGAAAATTAGACCCAGCTGCTCATGTCAGAGGTTAAGTGGGAAAATAAGGGTGGAAAAGTAGGTAAATAATTGATATGACCATGTTGGCAAGATAGAGGAGATCAAGCATCTCAGCCCTTCTTTGATGTTTAGGTTTAAGTAGAAAAAGGACAGATGCATTGTGGGTAGGTTGATCACTACCACTATTTTACTTGTAGTTTTGCAAAGTTGCTCCCAAGAAGTGTGTTAAGGGATCAGTCAGGTTCCCAGTGGTTTCTCCTATTTAGAGAGGAAGCCGGAGTTGCTGACCTGGAGTGCTTGTCCTCAAGCAGAAAGGTGATCTCATCATGGGGTGGTCTATCTGAGAGACTTCATTTTTCCTTAAAGGTGATTTTAGATTTAGAAAAATTACAAGAGACTTCTAGACACTGCTCTAGGTTCTAGAACAAGACTTAAAAGCAAACTACCCCAGTTTCTATTAGCAGTTTCAGTTTTTAAGGGGAATGAAATAGGTTAGGTAAATTTAGGGCTACTAACCCCTTCCTACTCCTCCCTGTATGTATGTAAAGACATCTGCCTTGGGAGTCAGTCTTCACATTCTACCCTCTTTGAGACAGTTTCTTATTTTGGGCTGCATAGATTAAGCTAGCTAGCTCAAAAGATTTCAGGCATTCTCTTGCCTCTGCCTCCATCCTTCCATAGGACTACTAGGAGTATAGAGATGTACATTATACTGTGCCTAGTTTTATATACATTCTGGGAATCAAACTCACATCTTCTGATTTATATGACAAGTGCTTTACCCCTAAGCCATCTCCCTCAGCCCTGTATCACCAGATCTTAGACACTTCTCATATAATTAACATTTTAACAGTTGCTATGACAAGTTCCTAAGAGTATACAGCCTTGAATGGTGCTGGAGACATAGCTGAGAGCTATGTCGTGATCCATTGGCAGATAGAGAGATTGAGAGAGAGAGAGAGAGAGAGAGAGAGAGAGAGAGAGAGAGAGAGAGAGAGAGAGA